TTCTATAGCAATTAAATTCATAGCAGTTTTCTGAATATATGGGGTGGTTGTATTGTATACATACAATGCTCAGCATAAGTGTGTACACCCCATTTTGAAAATGAATATTTTAATAATTTCTCAGTAATTATAGACAAAAAAAAATAAAATAAAAATTGTACATTATATATTGCTGCCTAGGGCGATAAAATCGGTATCAATATTTATTGACCAAACACCATTGTCAATATCGATAAAAAAAAAAGATTCAGTATGAATTTTCGATATGAAGCGCAATAGTTTTATTAAAATGTGGCTGCTGAGCACGCGCCTTGGAAGCAATGCCAATAAGATTAGAGTGTGTGTTTGTCATATCCAATGGAGGCACACGACTTGCAAGACGTGGGAGCCGCACCTAGTTGAAAATATCTGAACTTTTCTGAATATCGTGAGTGCACAGTAATTCACGTAAGTAGAACTAACCAATCTGCTTTACACTTTGTATGGAATATACACATTTCAGTAATAATGGCAAACTGATTCCCTCATACAAACACAGTGCACCCAAACACTGCAGTGCTTTTTACTTTTCTCCATAAACTTGTAATCTGCAGCAATGATTTGTCTGTTTGTCATCCTCTGAGCAAATGGTTGATAGTCACCTAGTTACAATAAGAAGCCAGGGGAGTCCATTGTAAATGGTCAAGGAAACCACGCGCACGCGCTTGTCACACAATGACAACACGTATGCCATATAGTAGCAATGAGGAGATTGTAAATAAAAAGGATGTAAAGATGTTGCCAGAGTGGCTTTTTGGTTTCTTTTCTTGTGCATTCCAGCCACTAGCAACCCATCTGAAAGATTTTATAGCATATGGGATTATGTAGTCATACAGCTTCACAATTTGTAATGTTGCAGTATGTATTTTAATAATGATGGTTGGTTCCTTTACTTGAAAGCTCAGATTTGATTATCATAATTTGTGTTTGAGGTTTACTGTATCATTATTTTTTACACCTTAAAGTTAAATTTGATTGTTCAGCATTTACACGTTACCATTGCACATGTGAAACATTTTATTTATCAAGTTTAAGAGTCTCTTTAACGCTTACATTTATATTATTATAAAGAGATCAAATTTTTTGTCTAAATTTTTTGCTGTTGACTATTAAAACTATTTGCCTTAGTGATGTTGATAAATTAAAGTGGGTAAATAAAAAATACTAATATTCCTAAAAGTGCAGTATTGTAAAAAATATTATGGATATCGAATGATATGAAACATGATATCGTAATAATTTTTTTTTGCAATATCGTCCAGCCATGTTTCTGCCTTCAATTGTTTAAGTTGAATCAAATGAATAATAAACTTTTCAAGTCATCTCACCTTATATCAACCAAACTGATTAAAAATATTAATAAACTTTGTATAGTTTTTTAAAAAAATGTTGAAAACTGATTAGTGTATTAAAATAAGTTACATGAAAACATTTGTGATCATGACTTTTTGTGATAAACTTTTTCAGTACAATATATTTTTGGTGCATTTTAAAAAAAATACTGATTTATTAAACATATATATTTTAAAAAATTACATTTTATTCAACAAACATCTTTAGAAAATGAAATAAACTACATTTAAATTCAAGCAAAATTTGAAAAAAAAATTATAAACGACAAAATTTCAACAAAATTTGATATATTTTTGCTTCTTTTTTACATTTTTATTTAATATTTTTCCCTAACATATGCATTTGAGTGTTCCTTTTGGAGTGATCTTCAGTTTTGTTGTTAGATTATCTTCCGATTTGGCTTCAGTCCTGGCTGATCTAATGTATATGCACAAATATAATATTGTAAAGTATCCAGCAGAAAACATTTATTTGAAAGATATATTTGTGACCACTGTATATGAAAATAAAAAACAACTATAAGGCTCTTATTGTTTCTGTAAAACGTACTTAACCCTTGTTTAAGAGATGCACACAGATATATTGGAACACGTGTATCAAGGAACAGTAATAAAAAACGCATTACTGTTTGGAATATGGCCAAATAGCCAAATATGACGCTATGACATCAGATAATTTGCTATCTATCTATGCAAACCAAAGGTAAACACACAAAGTACAAAACGTAATTGTACCTTCAGACACTAGTGAATGATACACACCCTCTGTAGGGTCAGCACCAGTCAAGACATTCATATTGAAAAAAGTACTTGTAGTATTCTAAGTACATGTTAAACAAAGAATCTTGAAAATGACCCAACAGTGATAATAAGAAATACCTCAAACCACAGACGAATGAAGTAAAGCTGTTTAAAAAGCCATCAGGTAATAACATTATGTTTTAAACCAATAAATGCAGGATGCCAGAATAAACATTTTAAAATCTCTCAGACAGCAAACCTTTAAACGGTATATCAATTTCCACCACGATTGACTTTCTCGGCTGTTTGTAAGAATGAAATGCCTGCTATCTCAATGAAGTGTCTGATACCCTATTGACAGAACTGACAGCGTGTAGCAAACCCACAAGGCTAAGAGAGCATTAAATCCTCATTAGTTCTGACTTCACGGGTGAAGCAATTATAGGGCAATAGCATCTGTTTAGTTAAGTTGTTTGGTCATGTGTTAATTCTGTCATATTTAAAGTCCACAAGTCCTTGTATAATCTGGTCTTCTCTAGAAACTCCTAGTCTCAATGAATGTTATTCCCCATCAACATTACAGAGTGAAAATCTTTTTCTATATATAGATGCCAGCGCACACAATTACATACTTTTAATGCAACAAGTTCACTTAAAAAAATCTGCACAAGATTTTTTTAATGCATGTTTTGTTGGTGATTTATCAAATACCAATTATAGTTCATATCATACCAATAATAGTTCACACAAAAATCTATGTAATTCACTCACTATAAGACCATCCAAAATGTAGGCGGCTTTTAGATGAAACTGTGGTCTTAGGTGATTCGTGAAATTCAAGTCAATGGCTGGCTAAAAAATAAAAAATAAACATAAACGGGCAATCGAAATTGGTACCTGCAGTTCCAGATGACAAACAGAGGTCTGATATCATGAAATGATCTGTGCAAGAAACTGCACATTATTCACAACATTTAACTTCCACAGCTCTGGTAAACAGTGCTGGCAAAGGTGTGTTACTTCAAAAGACCTCAATGTGTCATCAGGAGCCACAGGTATTTATTTTGTTTTCCCTAGTGTGTTTTTTGGAAGTCATGGTAGCTGCAGACATGCATTTAATAAATCACCAAACACTAAAAAGTGTCTTTAATGTTCTACTTATGTAAAAATATTACCTATAGAAACTATTTTTATTTTTGTGTGATGCTTTTAAAGAGATAGTTCGCCAAACACTTAAAAATCTGTCATCAGTTACTCACCTTTCACTTCTCACTAACCTTATCTTTCTGTTGAACAAAAAAGAAGTTATTCTGAAAAATGTTGGAAACCTATAATCATTAACTTTTATAGTAATTGTTGTTGTTTTGACTTTGGAAGTCAATGGTTACAAGTTTCTCACATTACTCAATATATCTTTTGTGTTCAGCAGAAAAAGAAAATTTACTCAAGGTTTGAAACCAATTGAGCTAGAATGAACCCAGCAGACACACAACATCATGAGACATAGGCATGTGCTGGTTTAAGATTCTGACAATATGATAACCTTGGATATAAATATCACGGTTTCACGATATTGTGATCACAGCTATAAAATATATTATTTTTATCTGTCTAGGTAAAAAACTAAAACTTTTCCCCCTTTGAACGCAATATATTTTATTTTCAAAAACATTTTAAATATTTTGGAGCAGTAAACATGTCAGACTAAATCATTCAAATAAATCATTGACTTCTGATGTGTTCATTAGTTTTAAAAACACAAATTACAATTTAGAACTGCATCTTTGGATATCTTATCTTCTGGAAATACTATTGTCCTAAAAAACAAACAAACAAAAAAAGTTAATAAAAAAAAAAAATCATACACATACTGTAGGAACGATATATCTGAAATTTTGACAGTTTTAAAACCTTAACTTGTCCAAACCGTGGTATACTGTACTTTGAAAATGGTTATCGTCCCATGCCTAAGACGTTCATATTAGTTTACATTTAGGTCACCAACATCTCAGAACAATGTTATTTTGATGTCCAATAATGACGTGAAATGATGTTGATATTTGGTTGATTTTAGGTTGTGTTAGAAAGTGACTAAAATCCAACTGAGCCAACATTTATATCCAGCGTCATATTGACCTCAAATACTGACATTTATTTGTCAGGTACGGCACCCAAAATCCAACATCTAATAGACGTCAAAGTGGTAAAGTCACAACGCCAAGCTGTAAAATCATTTGACGTTGATATTCGGTTGTTTTTAGGTTGTGTTGGAAAGCTTCAAAATGCAATGTTTGTGGACATTGATATCGGCCTGATTTTCATTTCCAAACAAAATGCAACGTCCCACAACGTTCGGGTACAATGTCAATCTGACGTCATATTGACGTCCTGTGCCTGCTGGGAATAGTGAGTGGCGGTTCATTCTGCTGTGGTGACCGCTGATTAATAAAAGGACTAAGCCAAAAAGAAAATTAATGATTGATTGATTGAATGAATGAATGAATGAATGAATGAATGAATGAATGAATGAATGAATGAATTAATGAATGAATGGTGAGTAAATTGACCTTTTTTGGGTGAACTATCCCTTTAAAACAAATAGATTTTTTCACACTTTTCATTAAATGCCCATGTTTCACGAAAACTTTTTTAAATTCTTGATTTGTGGCATAAATGTTTCGCTTTTTGTGCTTGAAGCTACCTCATGTTCATTCTACCAAACCAACACTCCTGAAGTTTTGCATTCATCACAAATCCCTTCTCCACTGAATTAACTTCTTCAAACACTGCTTCATCAAGAAAACAGCTGAACATGAAACTTTCAGAAGCTTTCCATCAAAAGCACTCAATCGAAAAGCTCAAACTCACCATTCAGCCCATTCGGTATGTTTCTAAGAAGATGGTTAGTCGATAAATCATCCATAGACCTCCTAATAGACGTGATCTTTCCCTCAGTGGGCTTGTGAATATGACTGTGGTGGTGATCAGGGCTTCCAGCACTGCCTGTACTAGATGTACTGCTTCCATCCCCAACATCCCTGACAGTGGCAGAACCACCATTCAGATTGCTCAGACTCGACTGACTGTCTATGGAGCTTCTGGATCCGGCTCCGTTCCTCTCATCGTCCAACATGATGATGATCTCCTTGAGCTCCAAGTTCTCCCTCATCACACTGTCCTGATTGCTCTCCAGCTCTTTCAGTTTTTGCTGAAACACGCCGACCTCCTTCCACATCACGCTGGCAGTGTATCTCCCAAACCTCTGCCATTCCCTGGACAGCTTCTTCCCTTTCTGCCGATCATCGTCCAAGAAGCAGCACAGTTCCCTGAGCTCCTGGTTGTCCTCTTGTAGCTTCTGGTTGACCTCCTTCAAGCTCCTTATTTCGTGCAGATGCAGTTGCAATCTCCGGTTGACGTCCTTCATCATGTTGCCGTGCTCCAGCATTAAGTTCATCTTTTCGGCGTCCACTTTTCGGAGTCTCCTCAGCAACTCCTCTTTGCTACATTTCTGCAGTTCCTCATCCGACACCTTGCTTAAATCATCCCTCGAGACGTCTGTAATGTTTTTGGCCATAGTCCTATAGTTAAAAAAGTGGTCTTGCGCGAAAGATCAGGTCACTTATTAATCATTCCTTCGCGTAAACGGAACGAGAAATATGAAACTCATGATTCAAATTAATCCAGTTATCAGAAAGATGAAAGAAGAACACCCCTACGAAGTGCTCGCGTAACTGACCCCCCAAAAAAGAAACAGTGTTTGATATAATATCCTTTTCTGTGGTTATTTCATAATCCCGTGAGCTGGAATCTCCTCTTTCTGATAGCGCTGAGCAGATGAATGGTGAGAAAATGCGCCCGTAGTTGCGCTTCAGCTCAACGCTCAGTGACGTCAACGTCGTCAGCGCTGCATTGCCTGCTGATATAAAGGGCTTTTCCTATAGAGGGCGCTTGACGGCTAAAAGGCGAATTTAACATAATACTAGTTGAAGTCAGAATTATTAGCCCCCTCTGTTTATTTTTTCGCCCAATTTCTGTTTAACGGAGAGTTTTACAACACATTTCTAAAAAGAATAGTTTTAATAACTCATCTCTAATAACTGATTTATTTTGTCTTTGCCATGATGACAGTCATTAATATTTTACTAGATATTTTTTTCAAGACACTTTTATACAGCTTTAAGTGACATTTAAAGGCTTAACTCTGTTAAATAGGTTAACGAGGCAGATTAGAGTAATTAGGCAAGTTATTGTTTAAAAAACTGCTTTTATTAAGTAAAAAAAAAACAAATAATACTTTCTCCAGAAGAAAAAAAATATCAGAAATACTGTGAAAATTTCCTTGCTCTGTTAATCATAATTTGGGAAATATTCAAAAAATAAAAAAACAAAGGGGGGCTAATAATTTTGATTTTAACTGTATACAAAACATTGCTACATTGCCAGAATAAATAAAATCAAGTCAATTAAAAGGTTGAAACATAATACAGTAGATTTAAATATAAATGTACTTTATAAAAGTGCTATAAAACTGAATTGTATAAATATAAATTAAGAAAACAGAAAATAATCACAAATGCAGGAAAATATTAGACACGTTTAATGGATCAAAAGGCAAAGTTAAAATTCAATATAAAACATTGCAACATTATAAGAATAAATGAAATTAAGTCAATTGAAAGGTTGAAATATAATATAGTATATTTAAATATAAACATACAGTCAAAGTCTTTTTTAAACCCCCTGAATAATTAGCGCCCTGTTTATTTTTTTTTACCCAATTTCTGTTTAACGGATGGAAGATTTTTTCAACACATCTCTAAGGTCACTGGTTTGAGTCCCGGCTGGGTCAGTTGGAATTTCTGTGTGGTGTTTGCATGTTCTCCCCGTGTTAGCGTGGGCTTCCTCCGGGTGCTCCGGTTTCCCTGCAAGTCCAAAGACATGTGGTACAGGTGATTTATAAAAGCTAAATTAGCCATAGTGTATGAGTGTGAATGAGAGTGTATGGGCGTTTCTCATTGTTGGGTTGCGGCTGGAAGGGCATCCGCTGCATAAAATGTATGCTGGATAAGTTGGCGGTTCATTCCGCTGTGGAAACCCCTGATTAATAAAGGGACTATGCCGAAAATAAAATAAAAGAATGAATGAATACCTGGGTTGAATTTCAGGAAAAAAAATACTAGTTTGATTTAAGACACTTTTTAATATTTTTTTTCTTAAAAGCTGAAACAAATATAATGATGATGATTACTTTATGTTAAGCTGCTTTGGCACAATCTACATTGTAAAAGCGCTATATAAATAAAGATGAATTGAAGATTAAAATAACAATAATTATAATCATTTATAAAAACTTTCTAAAAATGTGCTGCATAAAAGAGCAAATATTGGATAATTTCTGAAAAATATTATACTAAAGAAAGGAATTGTATTTATTTATTTTAATTTCTGTTTACCCATATTTTATTTTATGCATTGATGTGTTGTTTGCTTTTAGTTTTTCATTTTACATCCAAAGATGAAAACTAAGTTATATTAGATTTTATGTGATTTAGCACAAATATTTCTGAATATATTATTTAGCCTTTAAATACAAACTTTTTCGTAAGAAGGGCCAAAAACCAAATATCAGTTGACAGCCATGGGCCGAAGGTAAATACCAGACTATATTACATCAAAGTTGCCATGGCTTCCTAATTTATTTCATAATATTTTTTAAAAATTTTGAAAACATTAAAATTGTTTATTTATTTAAATTGTATTATATAATGCAATAACTTTTTAAATGATAACTCATTGCAATAAAAACATAAGAAATTATTTATAACACAGTGGAGTTCAATGCTGAATACACTAGTCAAGCAGAATCTGCCCTTGACTTGATTTGCACATCAAATTCCCTGCATTGTCGGGTAACAGTATGAACATTCAAACAAAATATGATTAATTTACACCATTTAATTGAAACATTCTCCCTCTCTTCTCAGATGGCATGGCAGGCTAAATAAAAGGTTACCATGGGTCAGCTTTGGCCTGTAGGCCCTAGTTTGGGCATCTCTAAAAAATAACACTGAACAAAAATGGTGCTAAATATTTTTACTCAGAAACTGCTATTCATTAGACTTTTTTAAACAATAAACAAATCGAAAACTTTCATGGGGATTCATACACTTGGGATAGAAAAAAACACAATTGGTAATCTGTACCCATCACTATACAATTATTTCACAAATGTTATGTCACTAAATATTATTTACCAAGTTGTAAATATCTAAATGAATAAAGAAAACAATACAGTTTGAAATACATTGCATTGGATCCAGCTCATTGTAATCTCAAAATCACACAGAAGGAATGCAGAATTTCACAATCTGATACCATTAATTTAAATAAGCTGACAATTATGCAGCCCTCACATTGCACCACAGGCCCCTCACAGCCTAAAATGCAAACTAATCACTAGGGTACAATTTTAGATGTCTAATACAAGCCTACATATTATTTTCCAGTAGTTTTAAGCTAAATTGTGCATGTAAGATAAGGGCTCTGCCACCATGCATGTTGTTTGATATGAAATAGGGGCCAGGGGGCTTCTAACTGAAACATTAAATCGCCAGATAAGATTAAACAGATTAAAAAGCTTTAAAGAAAAGCACACTATTCATTAGCAATGTCAGTGACACATTACGTATAAAGCCAATAATGTGGTGGTATTTAAAGTTGTACCAAGTGCTTGATTACACCACTTGAGAGGTGTGAATGACAAATGATAGGGTTGAAAACAAGTAAAGAGAGGTAGGCATGTTTCAGCCAATAGGGAATCAGTTAAACTCTGCTCTCAAAGGCTGTTCATAATTTTCATGTGAACGCGGCTCTAAAAATAGCTTTCTGGGAGAATTCAAATGAGCTTCATTTTGTTAATAATAAAGCTCTGCAATTTTTTGACCTATATTTATACAATGAAGCATTATGGCAGGAACATTCCGGTGGATACCAAAGACTAGAATAACACCAAATTGGCTATTCATGCGTTAATACATTCTGTAATGTGAATGAATGCGAGAAAATTTAAATATCAAATGATCTCACCCTTTTAAAAGCAGATGCCCTTTTAATCTGCGTGGGTACTGAATTTACTCACTTCCCATGCTGTCGTGTGAACACATCGCCATCTAACGGCTAACATGACTCAATGTGTCTGCAAATGCATTCATTAATCAGCTGGAAACACTCAGGAACGGCTGAGTGACTCTTACATAAAAATAACAGCTGGAACTGACCCAAAGATTGCAAAACTAATTCGAGAAAACCTGCTTTCAAAAAATCTAGGCTGTGAATTACAACATAGATTTGATTAAAACTGGGTTTCCATAGTTCAGTTTTAACACTGCACATTTACCTGCCTGCTCTACCAAATGGCTGACCTTCTTTTTTACTTTTAAATAATGGCTGTTAAAGGCGACGCAGTGGCGTAGTAGGTAGGGCTGTCGCCTCACAGCAGGAAAGGTCGCTGGTTCGAGTCTCGGCTGGGTCAATTGGCGTTTTTGTGTGGAGTTTGCATGTTCTCCCTGCGTTTGCGTGGGTTTTCTCCGGGTGCTCCGGTTTCCCACAAAGTCCAAAGATATGCGGTATAGGTGAACTGGGTAGGCTAAATTGTCCATAGTGTATGTATTTGTGGGAATAAGTGTGTATGGGTTTCCCGATGATGGCTTGCGGCTGCGTAAAACATATGCTGGATAAGTTGGCGGTTGGTTCTGCTGTGGCGACCCCAGATTAATAAGGGAATAAGCCGAAAAGAAAATGAATGAATGAATGAATAAAGGCGTTTTAAAAAATGATTTCTTAAAATAATGGTTTACAGACATTCATTGCTGGTTTACAAAAAAAAAAAAAAAAAAAAACATCCTCCTGTTGCACTACTACCCTTATTTAGGTTTTACCTTAAAAAATAAACAAGAAAACATGTTAAATGAGAACCTAAACTATTTTATTGCATACAGTTGAAGTCATAATTATTAGCCCCCTTTAATTTTTTCCTTTTAAAAATTTTTCCCAAATGATGTTTAACAGAGCAAGAAAATTTTCACAATATGTCTGATCAATTTATTTCTTCTGGAGAAAGTTATTTGTTTTATTATGGCTAGAACAAAAGAATTTAAAAAAATCATTTTAAGGTCAAATTTATTAGCTCCTTATAGCTGTTTATTTTTTCTATAGTCTACAGAACAAACCATACTTTTACAATAACTTGCCTATTTAACCTTTTTAGATCTAGTTGAGCCTTTAAATGTCACTTTAAGCTGTATAGAAGTATCTTGAAAAATATCTAGTAAAATATTATTTACTCTCATCATGGAAAAGATAAAATAAATCAGTTATAAGAAATGAGTTATTAAAACTATTTTTATTAGAAATGTGTTGAAAAAAATCTCTCTGTTAAACAGAAATTGGGAAAAAAAATAAACAGGGGGGCTAATAATTCAGGGTGGGGGGCTAATATTTCTAATTTCAACTGTACTTCAAAAAATAAAGATGATTTAGAATTCAAAAATGTTTTAATAAATTAGTCTTATACTTCATATTATTCATAGCATATGTATTAATTCTGGTACTTTTACATGAAACTGATGTATCAACTATTTGGTAGTGGTTGATATTTCAGAAATTGAGGCATGTGTTAGAAAAAAATTCCATCCCAGCAGGAGGAGCTCAACCTGCGTTCTGTGGGTCCTAACACCCCAGTATAGTGAAGGGGACTCTATACTGCTCAGTACGCGCCGTCTTTTGGATGAGATGTTAAACCAAGGTCCTGACTCTCTGTGGTCATTAGAAATCCCATGATGTCCTTTGAAAAAGAGTAGGGGTTT